GTGCATGTGTGTGCATGCGTGTGTGTATGTGTGGTGTGTGTGCGTGTGTGTGTGAAATCGTGTGTGTGCGTGTATGTGTGAAATCGTGTGTGTGCCGTGTGTGTGAAATCGTGTGTGTGCGTGTAAATCGTGTGAAAATCGTGTGTGTGCGTGTGCGTGTGTGTGCGTGTATGTGTGAAATCGTGTGTGTGTGTGTGTGTGTGTGTGAAATCGTGTGTGTGCGTGTGTGTGTGAAATCGTGTGTGTGCGTGTATGTGTGAAATCGTGTGTGTGGTATGTGTGAAATCGTGTGTGTGCGTGTGTGTGTGTGTGTGAAATCGTGTGTGTGCGTGAAATCGTGTGTGTGCTTAAATGTGACGTATGGAGACAACAAACTTCACATATAAGCACAATTAGATTAAAAAATTCAATTAATAAAAAAATATAATTGCAAATTGCAACATATACGTCATAAGCTCTGTTAATCACATACCGTGGCCTTTGAGTATTAAGGCTCGTTGGCATTTTGGGCAAACAAGACATTCAAGCATTTTCATTTTGTAAAGATCAGCATAACATTTCCAGATATTAACCCCCTCAGCATAACTCATTGCATCGTCTTTGCATATGTTTGTCACTCTGGATCTCCTATGCTGTAAAAGGCACTAAAGCTCATATCTTGATCAATAGATTATTTTATGACTTATGCATCATATCATCTTATAACTTATATCAGACCATATGCATAAATCATTACATTAATCTCCTGCATATTCCATTACAAATCATAGCATAACTTTGTATCATATTGTTTATATCATATTATAACAAACCTCATAAAAAAACTTATACCAGATAACGCTTCACAGAGTGGAACTTAAATTTAAATACGTTATTTCTACTTCATCTTTTCAACACCAGAGTATGTTAAAGTACGATCGAATGCGTCAAAAAATGGGATTTAATGCTGATGTAAAAAAAAAAAACAAAAAAACATCAAAACCCAATAGCATTTGCATTTGATTAACTTCACATTTAAAAAGAGTCCGGTGGTCGGAATCATAAGTGAATGAAAGGTCGCGGAAGGTCGGAAGCTCTTCAGTTGGGATTGAAAACCGTTTCTTTGGAGTCGATAAAAACAGGGGCTTAATCCGTCGTGTTTTGATTTTAAGTAAATACGCGTTATACTTATCATAAGAAGGAGCATATCAGGGGACGGAGAGGTATGAGGATTATACATTCTTGGAGTTTCATATCTATACGTTAGAAAAATGGCCTCTAACTTGACTGCGTTTTTATGATATATATGGTTATATATACACATGAATGAATATATATATATATATATATATATATATATATATATATATATATACATATATATATATATATATATATATATATATATATATATATATATATATATACATACACACACACACACATTACACACACACACACACACATACACACACACACACACACACACACACACACACACACACACACACACATATATATATATATATATATATATATATATATATATATATATATATATATATATATATATACACATACACGCACACACATGCACACACACACACACACACACACACACACACACACACACACACACACACACACACACACACACACACACACACATGCACATACACACACACAAATATATTTATATCAAGAGAGATAGAGAGAGAGAGAGAGCAGACAGACAGAGAGAGAGAGAGAGAGAAGACTGACAGACACAGACACACGACAGACATAAAAAGACGGCAGAAAAGAAACAGTAAACCACACAGAATAACAGACAGACAAGCTGACAAAACGGATAAACGAACACACTAGGGAATTCAGGAACGGGAAAAGGAAGGACGGGGGGGGGGGGGGAGGGATAAATAAAAGAAGCCCAACGAATCAAAATGCCATCGCCGACAACCAATCACGCTACAAGCTTTAATTCACTGCAACATGATGACTAAGAATGGACGATCCTTAGTCATGCAAGTCGTAACATGTTCCTAGCAGTGCGCAATGAGGTTTAAAACACTTGCAAGCATAGTTCTGTTCAACAAAGTGCGGAGGTATGGTATCGCTACTGAAATAAGTTACAGCAGAAGGGATACTATATACAGTATCCCTTCTCTCTCTCTCTCTCTCTCTCTGTTTATTCGGATGATAATGCAGTAATCACAATAATAAAATATCCTCTCTCTCTCTCTCTCTTGTTATTCGGATGATAATGCAGTAATCAGTATGGACATGAAATATATATTTCTGTCTTCATGGGTGTACACTATATTTGCTTATATGTGTGTGCGTCTGTGTTTTAGAGAGATCAATAGAGAGAGAAAGAAAAAATGGATAGAATCTATTCAGTATGTGTGTGCGTGTGTATTTTAGACAGATAAATAAAAAGGAGATTGATAGAGTAATCTGTCTTCATATATATACACAGTATATATGTTTTTGCGTGTGTTTGTGTGGTTTAGATAGGTAAATAGAAAGAAGGATTGTTGTAAAGGGAGAGAAGGAGGGAGGTAGACATAGTATGCAATATTTATCTAATACTTATATGGGTTCTTACGCCTGAAGTCATATTCCATGTGACTGCGGAGTTGAAGCCGCTTCATTCTTGCTTATAAAATGGCGCGATAAATGACAGCATGATATCAAAGAATAAAACACAAATACACACACTCACGCACACTCGCTAACATGCACACGCATGAAGGCATCTTGCTACGAATCTATATGAATCCTATTATATCATTATCATTGATTTTATGATTATTGTTAACATTATCATGATCATTGTTATTGTTGCTCTTTGAGGCTAGTAAAAGTACGTGTTGTAGAGTGCGGTGGGGTCTGGCTCTTCTTAATTCAGGAGTAAGGCGCCAACACTTGTCGATGGGCAGAGCTACTGTCCAAAGTCATTCTGGAGCAACACTGGGGAATGCCAAGGTCGCCTACTTTGACATTCCTGACGATGTTGCTATCATATTCGAGTCTCTGGAATAGCTAATGGCGGCTTTTGATACATTCAACATTGAGGCTGAATTGCGGCGGGGGCGTTGAAGTTCCAGTGAGCTTTACGTACCTAGCGTAGCTCATGACTCGACGGATTGGTCTGGCAGCGGGTGCCATGAACTCAGTCGACAAAAGAGATGCTGGTCATTGTGCAGACGACCAAGCAGCGTATCTTCAAGAGCCTGATTCTGCTAGTTTCGCTTTATGGAAGTGAAACCTGGACGTTGACCCGTGCCTTGGAGGCTCGTCTTGTCTCTTGTAACAGGTCTTTCCGGAGGATCATGTGCTACGGTGGCAGTGCCTTGTGTCCAAACAACGGTTACGCCGTAAGACCAACATCGGACCAGTTACAAAACTCAACCTTTATGGGCACCTCGCTCGGTTCCCAGTGGGCGATCCTGCTTAAGATAATTCTCTCCCCGAGGCAAGTTGGGCGGAAGAGGCCCTGAAACGTCTTAGGAAGTCACGGCTCCGGCAGATTGATCAGACCTGTCGCGAGGAAATAGGGATGGCTCGAGAGCCTGCCCGGCGGCTCACCATGAGGGACCCTCGCAGTTAGAAGCGAAGGAAGTAGGCGGCTATGCGTCCCTGTTGACGTCAGAGCCACTGATTGATTGATTGATTGGGAGTGATGGGATGGCAGAGCGGGGAAGAAAAAGGGGGGGGGGTAGAGGGAATTGGAAAGGAAAACGGAGAGAAGAGATCAGAGGCAGGAGGATGAAAGAGGGAGTGAAGGGGGGAGTACCTTTTAATTTTTGTTGTTTCATGGAATTACATATAAATGAATAAAAAAAAAATATATATATACATATACATACATACATATATATATATATATATATATATATATATATATATATATATATATATGTATATATATGTATATATGTATATGTATATATATATATATATACATATGTATATATATATATATATATTATATATACATATATATATATATATATATATATATATATATATATATATATATATGTATATATATATATATATATATATAATATATATATATATATATATATATATATTATATATATATATATATATATATATATATATATATATATATATATATATATATATATATATATATATATATATATATATATATATATATATATATATATATATATATATAACATAAATGCACACACACACACACACACACATACATATATATGTGTGTACGTGTATGAGAGCCTCGTAATCAAGACACATCAAACAAAAGCAATAAACAAAGGGGGGAATCCGTGCCACTCGCCGGTCAAGAGCGATTTTCGATTTTATTTCCTGACTTTCGAGAGGGATCGGATTTCGCATAGGCGCCGATGGAGGGGGGGGGGGGGGGGGCGGGGGGGGGGATGGGGGGGGCGAGGACAGTGACGGAGGAGGCCCATCCTCCTGCGCGGAAATTCTTCGGCTACGAAATATTTTCCAGAACAGTTTGCCCCATTTTGGCCTTCTTGTTTACTTGTCTTTCTCTCTTTCCTTCTCTTAGTTTCTCTCTCATTTTTTTCTCTCTGGACCTTTTCTTTATTTTCTTGAGTCTCTCTCTTTTCATGTTGTCTTTATTTATTTTCTTTTTTATCTATTGTTTTGATTTTTTCTTTATCTTTTTCTCTTTCTGCTCTCTTTTTCTTTCTTTCTTTCTGTTTAATTTTCTCATTCGCTTTCTTTATTCTATTTCTATTCATCTCCTTTCTTTTTTTTATGTCTTTCTCACCCCTCTTTTCTTCTCTTTCTTCCTTACACACTTTCTCTCTACTCTTCCACCCTTCTTTTTCTCTCTCTTTCCCCCCATTCTCTCTTTCTGTCTTACTCGGCCACTCTTTTTTCTCTTTGTCTCTTATTCTTTCCACCCCCTTTTCCCTTCCCTCCTTTCCTTTTTCTCCCTCTCTTTCTCTCTCCCTCTTTCTCCTCTGTTTCCTCTCTCTCTCTTCTCTCTTCTCCTC